ATTCAGGGCATGTTTTTAGATTCTAAGATGAGAATGAGTTCAAATCACATGATGACTACTTACTTTAATAATTAATTTTTATGTGTTTTCTGACACCAAATGTTGTAGGAGAGATGACTGTCTCRTGAGATTAGTCGAGGTACAACTAAGTTGGTCAAGACACTCACGGGAAAAAAGCGTGTCCTATACTCCACCCTATAATTTATTCCTTTTCAAGAATATTATTAAGAAAAATATATATGTGAGAAAAGAAAGAATATTCGTTACAAATATACTCGGACATTACTTAATTCTAGGTAGGAAGAAGGATCATTCTGAATGACCCCTAGGTAGGCCACATGTCAAAATTGAGCCATATTTGTAAGGGTATTTTGTTTTTTTTACTTTCTACTTACATATATTATGTGATTCATAAATAGAAAATCTTTTGTCGCACATATTGAGTGTACGAACACTGATAAATACATGGCAAATAAATTATTATTATTATTATTTTGAATGTAATAAGCTGTAAATAAATTCCCATTAAATTAATACAATTGTGAAGATATAGTGAATTTAATTAATTTATGTATAAGAAAGGTGTATAAATTCCGAAACCTTTGGGACGTTGGACATTGGATATTTAAGTGAAAAGTAGGCAGGGCGCAGTTTTGTTTGTTTTTCCTTTTGTAGGGTGCAGGGAGAATAATGAACTCAGCTCCAAAAAAGTATAAGAATAAAGGGTTTATTAATTTTGAATAAAACTAAAAAGTTAGAGTACAAACTACAAAGAAAACAAACATAGAGAGAGGGCGCCATGGCTCCGCCTCTGGGTTTGCTCGCCTCTCTTGACTTGACTTGACTATGGGTACAAGTTAACAACAAACCACAGAACACAAACACAAACCCAAACCCAAACCCAAACCCAAACCCAAATATCTACTACGTACTCTAAATTAATAAGTTAATTGATGACCATAAACTAATTACTGAACTAACTAAACTTACCCCGGCCCCCACCACTAGTCGACACCGTACCAATCACAGTAAAAACTATTAATTAGCCTAAGCCTTGACAATAATATCGGCGGGGGCGGCGGGTTCTAATTTCTTTTCGCTCTTCTTTTGGATGTTGTCGATAACTGCTTCCACCACAGCGTCCACCACCTCCACATTTGGGTGAAGAACGCCCACGCCCACAGGGCTCAGTTCAGTGCACACCATCGTCCCCAACTTCACGACGTCGATTATGTGTTCCGACAGTTCGTGAAGCTTTGGCGCCTCTTCTGCACCTGCCGCCGCCGCCTTCGYCTTATTACTGCTTAATTTCTTCCCGGCATTCTTGTATATCACGTACATGATCATCTGGATTATGCCAAACACGAACCCTACCACGTTCGGCAGCTGCAGGTGTACCGCATTCCAAATTCATTCATTATTAACCACTAATAATCTAGCTAATTAAGAAGAAGAAGAATATATAGTTGTTTTATAAATTTGTTACGTACCGCAATGTAATAGTCTTTGAGAAGAAGGCCGTAAAAGAACCACATGACTGCATTGAGAGTGAGAAAGAACGACAATGCAAAAGGCATGTACTCCACGCTCTTAGTCCTTATCACTTTACTCTGCATATGAAAATTGAATAATAAGGAATTAATTGATTAATTAATCTAAGAAGGAAGAAGGAAATAAATCAGGTGGAACGTGGTACGTTGTTTACCATGATGAAAAGGGGTGCGGCGAACACACTGAGATTAAACACCAAGCATATCCAACCAAGAACCTGGAGACGCTTCTCTCCTTTGGCTAAAGCAAGAGTCAAACCCAGCATCAACCCGAACCCCAAAACATTCAACAACACTAGCAGCTTCGCCGTTTGGAACTGGAATAACCATTCAATCATTTATTAATTATTAACTAATTATCATTTATTCATTAATTTCAATCAAATTGCTCGCACTTACCCTTGACTTTCGCGGCGCGTAATACAGAAATAGAAGGATGTAAAGGGTCTCAATCACACACCCAAAGGAGTTGATGGTAATAAGAAAGGTGGCCTTTGTCTTGAGAAGGGCGTAGTAAATCCAAAGCATGGCGCTGAACAGTGCAACCACATAAGGTAAGGCCTGATACCCTTCCGCCGATTTTTTCTTGTATATCTTGTAAAACGTTGGCCTGCGCAACCATGAAAAATATTAAATAAATATATATATATATATTTGGATCATATCCAATTCAGTAATTAAGCTGGTACGGTGTAACTGCTTACAGTGGAGCTAGGAAGACCATAAAGGAGATAACATTCCCTGCACACAAGGAATATACATGTATATGAGTTCGCTCAAAATCATCGTCCTAGCTCATATATATATCCGGCCTCCATACAAATATACATGGTGCATTGTGCATTGTGCATTGTGCATGTATATGATAAGCATAAACACAAACGAAGAAACGGCCGGGGCCGGATGTACTGTCACGTACAACAACGTAACACGCTATGCATAATGCATGGGAGGGAAGGAGAGGATGGACAGGTACCTAAAAGGCCAAATACAAAAGCCAGAGTGTCGGGACTAATGGCCATCGCTTTGCTTTGTAAGAGCTTGCTAGCTCTCAAGAGAAGGGATTGGAAGCAAGCTTAGGAGTGGTAGCGCTGAGCTATTTTAACTTGCACTGCACTGAAAATAATGTGCGAAGGAGACGCATTTATAGTGCACCCAACTCTCAACTTGGCGTCCCYCTCTCTCTCACAACCAACCAACAATAAAATGTGACGCAGCAGCACCCGCACCCGCACCTGCACCCTAACTTTTCTTTTTCTTTTTTTAAACTTTCCAGTTGTTCAATTCATCCAATATACCTCAACCTGGGGCTCGGGATTATCTACGCCGATGGTTATATATTTGTGAGTACAAAGTAGAATTAATTAGCTAGGTAGAGCGTCGGGGTACATCCACAAATACCAGTTGAGGCCCCCACCGGGCTTCTTTATGATGTGTCACCCACCATATTCTTTTAAGCCCTCCAACTCATACTTTTACTTCCTCATACCACTTGGAAACTAAAATCCCTCCAGTACACTACAACCGGCCTCACGCTGCTCTTTGTCTTAATTGATTACAGCCCATCCAGTTATCACTTATTCTAAATTTGGAGATATAAGCTACAAATATGGGTGGATTTAGCATACATGTGCCAATTTTATTGATGCTTTGACCAATGAATTGCATTAATTAATGGTTTGGTTTTGCATTTTGGAAAGATAAATTTGTAGATAACACACACTCAAATCCGGAAAGTTTGCCGATAATGTGTGTGTAGAGCACTAGCGGAGATGAGAGTGGGTGAGAAGCAAAGTATGAATTGGTGGGACTTGGGAATTGAAGTAGGCATTTTTTTCGATTCAGTTGTGATTGGGAATTATTTAACATGCACCAGTCTGAAAAGATTGGTGGGTACTGGGTAAGGTAATATGAATTGGTGATGATCGATCTTGCCGGAACTCATTCTTCGCTTCAAATAGTATTTAAAAATAGGAATTAGAAGAATAGGCAAGTTGGGCAAGTTGGGTTGGGCAATCGCATCTTTGATGGATCCCAAGTTGAAGAATGGTATGGAGAGACTGAGATTCCACTCCCACGCACGCAGATGCAGATGCAGAGGCAGAGGGCAGAGATACGGCTTTTGATGTGTAATCGCACTGAAATTAATTGAAATATCCCCATCGCCCATCACATATCGTAGCCCGATCAGACGGTCCAAAACCACACATGCCATTCCCAGCTTAATTCCCTTCACCATCTCCTCTCCTACAATAATAATATGCTGCCCTCTCTTTCCCAATCCGTAACTATATACTTCAGTTGACTTCGTAGCTCACACATTATTCCCCCATCCACACACACATTTATATTTCTTCTCACGTGCCACACTCCCCTCCGCCTCCTTATCTCTTCATTTTCCCAAATTAAGTAATTTAACAACATAAAACACGTCATTCATTTATTACAATAATACACACACACTTCTCCCACTCAACTTCCATATATCCTTTCCTTAATTATATAAATATTAACATCCCCCCCTCCAACTCCTTATTCCTTAATTAATGCACATTCATTCTTAATCACACTATTTAATTTCCATCCATATTTTCCTTCATCTCATCAACCCTAATATTACTACTAAAGATTTAATTCCGAGAAATTTGTGCTATATTTGAAAACTTTAAGAAATAGGTGTCATTAATTAATTATAGAATACAATTGAAAGAGAGGGGTGCGTTGCATGCAAGTGTAAGTAATGTACAAAATTGTGAGCGAGGTGGATGTCACAATTCATAATGCTTGCTTGCTGTTGTGGGAGGTGTGTGTATCCGAAGCCAAACCAAAGAATGTGAACCACACGATTTTGTTTGTTCATGATTTATTTTGTGTTTAATTAGTAAAGAATTAAATGAATCAAACATGTACATAGTGATAATGAAATTAAAGTGAGGATTACCAGAGATTTGGTGTTCAAATAGGGAAATAGGATGAGTTTGGSAAAATGCAAATTCAAATTCCAAAAACAAGCATCATTGCCAAATTGTTTTGTAATGGAATTTGGAAGTTCCAATTACGGGAAATTGATTTGGCATATAAACACTCACGGATGGATATACAACTAGCTAGGCTACCACTTCTAATTAACGTATTACTCAATCATATTGCCCTTTCGCTCAGCTAACACAACAAAATTAGTTAAATGGGTCCTACCACATCCAAATTAACCAAGTTTTAACTAAATTTATTGTTTTTTTATTTTTTGGTGATATAGTGCGTGACCAATTTCAATTATTCTCCTACGGCCGAGACCTCCAAAAAAAAAAGTTAAAGATGAAAAGGCAACAGTTGGTGGAAACCATAA